CAAAACTTGGTATTAAATAATAGGACCACTAATAGCCGCTCTGGGCTCTGCGCATGAGCAGTAGTAAATGAGGCCGGAAACGTAGTGACGTGCTGCGGGATGGGATCCAATAGGAAGGTTGTGTGTGCAGAGCCGGAGAGCCCCGTACAGGCTGCTCCCTGAACACGGGACGCCAGCTCCACCAAGGGCGCTAAACAAACAGAGCATTTTCAATCAAATATTTGTTTTTTAAAGAAATGTTTAAAATATTTTGAACATTGCTCAGATGACATATCTTTAATTTTTTAAAAAAAAATATTAATATTTTTATTGCGCCAGATATCCGTTACACTTGTGGACGGCTGCTATTTGTACTGATTAAATGTGTCGGTGGTTTTATTCCCTCACGCATTGTTTCAAACAAAGTCACCACAAAGAGCCTCAAAAATGTAAAAACCAAAACACCAAAAAAACACATGAAGACATTAAACAAAACTGTACTGGAAAAGACTGAAAAGCATAAACTAATTCATGAACGCTTAATAAACTAATTTCTAAATATATTGATCAACAAAATGTGTCTAAAATGACAACAAACATGTGACTGAGATCTGATGTAGAGGAGAGTCCAGGAGGTCCGCCGCCCGCAGCCTGCAGCTTTACACCCACGACAGTGATGCATACAGAGACAGATACTTTGCTGACCCTGAATGTGACGATGTGTCAGTCAGAGGAAACCAACAGGACTTTTACTCAACAAGGAATTCTCATGCAGTACTTTTACTTCGAACACTTCAAGTGTCTCTGGAGTCGTTCAGCTCAGATAAAAGAAATCAGCTCATGTACGTTCTGGGACACAAGTTAGCTCCCAGAGTCATTTCAAAAGGAAACATCCAATCACTGNGACCGGGTTAGCTCCACAGCATCAGTTGCCATGGAGACCTTGCTCCACAGTGTCAGTTACCATGGAGACCTAGCAGGTTAATAGAGAACCTCCTCCATGACACTGGACTCTAACTTTAGGCTGAACACACCTGCTGACCCACTAGTCGGGCTTCGCAGTGCAGAACTCAGGTGAGGTCTTGAAGCTCACCTGTGGGTAACAAACATTCCGTTGCTGCTGATCAGCTGGTTCCTCTCTTATTTCGCTCACCTGTCCAACGTCTGCCTGCAGCTGTTCGTCCGTCTCACGTCCTCGTGCACCAACATTCAGAACCGCTGCGTCCTCTGGGTCACTGTACTCTCTGTACTCTCTGTCTGCAGGTGTTTCTGGTTCCACCGGTCCGTCCGGTCTCACCGTTCTGTCGCCACTCAGCTGAAGAACAAAAGGCAACAAGCTGCTTAGGATTGGTTGGATTGTTCCAGCAACGCAATCGGGTCGACCTCTATAACTGTGATCACTTTGGGTTCTGAGCCTGGACAGTGTTTGGACCTGCAGCAGCTCTGGTGCCAGAAGCCTTTACAGGACGCAGCAGCAGAAACTTCAGAGAACCAGAAAAGGTTCTGTGTTTTCTACAGAACCCAGAGGTTTGGATCTGAGCTTCGTCACAGCTGTGGTTTATCACACAGCAGAACCTTGGTGAGCCTGCAGAACCGGAACCGACGTGTCATGTACGTGTCCACACTGAGGGATCAATACAGTGGATGTGACCAGACCCAGACCCAGACCCAGACAAGCTGAGCTTAGACTCATAAAGGGGAACCTGTGGCCCACCTGTCGGTTCTGTGTGAGAACACTGAACAGTGTCTAAGGTCCGAACCTGTCTGAGCTCCAGCAGCAGCTCCTGGTTCAGTTCAACCCACTGAGGTCCATTTTCCTACACAAAGTCCTGCAGCTCTGTGGAACCAGAACCATGCAGGAGGAGACAGAACTCAGAGACATGTTCTGTCAGAACCATGGAACCAGAGAGAAGGAACATCAGCAGCTGGTCCACAGGAACCGTCCTTACATTATAGTTCTGACCCGATTTCATCCGTTTGCAGGCATCTGGAGGTGAAACGGAACGTTTCAGCAGAACCTAGTTTAGATAAAAGGTTCTGACAGGAATCGGTTCTGACTGCGGCGGCGGATAGACAAATCATCAAAGCTTTCACCTGAAGCTCCACCTGCTGTCTTCACTTCCTGGTTGATGACGAACAGGACTCGCGTTCAGCTGCTCGTGCTGTGACGTCACGTGCCCCCGCGGATTCCCGCCACAACAAAACCGAATAAAACACAAAAACAAAAGTTCTAGACAAAGTTCTGCTGCACGAGCGCCGCTGCTGCCGCCGCGCAGGCGCTGTGCTCCACTTCCTGTATGCTGCAGCTGACTCAGCGCTACGCGACGTCACGTCCGGTGACGGAAACGTGATGTTTCTGGTCAGTAGCGAGAAGAAAAACAGGAAATAAATCACATGAACGCGCTTCAGCCAATCAGGCGTTTATTTACAGAGCACGAGGCACATGCTGAATTTAAAAAAAAATAAAAAACGATAAACTTGTTTTCAAGAAACTTCATTAACATAAAACCGCTTAAATCTAACCATGACTGCTGTACATGATTTAGATTTAAAAGATATATAAAGATAGGACAGAGACAGGAGAAGAAAAGAGGAAGGGCCATGAGCGGGAGTCGAACCCACGACCACTGTGTCGCGCAAAGGATGCTGCTCAATCTTCTCTGTGGGGGCGGAGGGGGGAGCGGGCGCGCCGGGGCGAAGCGCGAGGGCGCCGGTTCGATCCCCGCTGACGGCGCCGGCAAACGGCGGCTCATTAATGTCGATACGCGGTTACGGCGGCTCGTTACACGCGCGGAGGAAACGGAGCAGTTAAAGTAAAGTACTGGCTACTGGCTACAGAGTATTTAATACTGTGTGCAGTACTCCTATGTACAGATCATACATGTACACAGTACTGGACTGTAACACAGTGTACATGGAGACTGCATGCATCTGTTAAAGTACTTCCAGAGGATATTTACCTGTCAGGATTAATGTTGTAGTAGTAGTAGTAGTATACATGTACAGATCACATGTATACTACTACTACTACTACTACTGCGTTGGTCCTGACAGGTGAGTCTCCTCTGGATGTATTTAACAGACACATGCAGAGTGTATTTACCTGTTAGGATTAACGTAGTGCTAGTATACATGTAGTCTGTGTGTGCTGATGTATGCAACTCTGCTAACAGACTGTGCAGCATCAGAACCAGAACCAGGACCTCTGAAGTGGGTCTGCATCTCACTGATCAACAGCTTCTTCTGACTATTATTCTATTATTATTACTCTTCGTAGTAGTAGTAGTAGTGGTAGGAGTATTCTGTGTGAGGAATTAAACGTTGACATGAGTTTGATTCTTTATATTATAATTCATCATTAAACAGATGAACTCATGGGTAATATTGTTCTGAGCTCTGCTCCTGATCCATTACTGCCATGTCATCAAATAAACCAACAGAAACAACACATCTGCAAAGAAAGCTTCTTATT